GCTGATGATACTAAAGTACTAGGATGATCTGGGAAGACACAGGGGGCAAGGTGAAGGGAATTCCACGAGACAAGTGAGTAGAATGTCCCAGTAGCGCGTACAACTCTTGTTCATAGATTCTATACACGCTGGCTGAATATATGAATGAAAGTGATATGAAGACAAAGGTTTTGGGTAAGATAGGTTTTGAAAAATAACAAAATCATTCTTTGGTGACATCAGTAATTTTTCTGAAGCTAGGTGACAGTGGTATTTTTCTCTCAGCAAAGAAAGTTATTCCATAGAGAATCACAATGAGGTGTGGTTTGGGTAATTCAGTTGGAGACCACAACTTTTCATGATCTTAGACTCCTCAAGCTAATTTCATCGGGGTGCTGACATGTAGAACAAGTAATATTTAAACACAATGAGCACGGAGTTGATTGTTCTCAAAATACTCAGAAACATCCTGCGTTCAGTTCATGACAGCCCCCGCTCACCCTTTGAGCTTCAAAGCTGGAAATTGCTCCAGATCTTAAGACTCCCAACTCTTAACAGTCACCGGTTACCTCTCATTCTTCCATCTTTGCTGTCAGGGCATGCCACTCAGACACTGTCTGTCCTCGTTCTTTTAGCTCGAGCCAGGGCTCCAAGCCTCGGTCATTCCTTGCCTCCTGCTTCCCTTTTCCTCCTCATCCGTTGGATGTCACTTAAAGCTCAGCCAGCTTTTTAGCTTCTTTCTCTGACTCTCTGACAGCTTTGCCCTGGCTGACACCTTCACGCCTGACCTTGGTCCTGTGGACGGCTCCTCCTTCTTCAGACACAAGAATGAATGAATAACGATGTCACCAGGTCTCTGCAGTCCAGCTTTGGGACATTTATCTTTGTACAGGGAAGCTACCCAAGGAATACCTGGTGTAACTACTTTAAGGTTTGGGCAACTGGGGGCTGAAGAAATGGAACAGCAGCTCTCTGGGCGAGGGCAGGCACGAGACCTATGAAAGTGAGCTTACCTGAAGCACCACTGGGCTGCACGTTTTTATTACCCCTTGTGGCACAGTCTGTCTTATTCCAGGGGCAGGAAGAACAACACGCGGGCCCTGGGGGTGTGTGTGTGTCATACTCTAGCAGAAGACTCACCACGCTAAAGATTAGGCATAAAATTAATAAAGTCATTCAGGTGGGACTTTGCTCAGTTCTTACAGAATGTTACACTTACAAATTTCTTACTTTCCAAAATTATAACTGGATATTCAGTATTCAGAGTTTATAGTTTTAATGATACTTTTTCTGTTTTCAGTCTCTATATTTAAAGGTATTTTAGAAGGAAGCCAATGTTAAGGTATGATTTGTAATCTTTTATCAAGTTTTTTGACTACTAAAACCCTCTCAAACCCGATTTGGAGACCTATACCTGTAATCTGGGTTTTTTTTTTTTTTTTTTTTTCTGGTACGGGGGATTGAACTCAGGACCTTGTGCTTGCCAGGCAAGCGCTTATTCTCCTGAGCTATCTCCCCAGCCCATATGCCCATAATCTCAGTGCTCAGGAAGCTAAGGAAGGACAAGGATATTTTGTTCGTTCGTTTGTTTTTGGTGGGCTCAGGTTTCCTTAATGGAGGATGTGGTGTAGCATGTGGAGCTGGGGATGGAACCACGGCCCCCCAAGCCTGACTGGGTTTGCCCAGGCAGGCAATTAAACAACTGAGATAACCGGCAAGCCCCCAGGAAGGAAGATCTTAAGTTCAAGGCTATTCTGGCAGAACCCAAGCTCAAAACAAATGAAAAAAAAAAAAAAAAAGCCAAAACCAAAATACAAATCTCACATCCTTTGAACTAAATATTATGCATCTTAAGATTTCTTGGCTCTCAGGGATCAGCAATGGGTTGATTATGAAAAGTCTTATTTCAATTGTGGGTGATTTCAGGGCGCTGTTTAGATTTTTCAAGTTTTTTTTTTCAATGCTAGAATTACGGCTTTATTCTGCCATACGCAAGGTCCTTGCTTTTAGTATATGAAGGACAAGTCCTTGGATTTGTTTATTCACCTACTAGCTATGAACTAGAGAAATGTTGCGATGACCTCTTCCTGGGGTTGTGAGGCAGAGCAGTTCTGTGTGAGCGGTGACATCGCACTTTAGCTTGGAAACAACGGAGAGCAACTGATCAGATCTGCCTGGAGAAATATTTTGAGATGGACTCTGAGATCCAGGCGGGGGCTCATCAAAAAGAAAATGATGCTAAGTGAAATCTGCTATGGGCAAGGAGAGGCGAACTGGTACCATAGGAACCAGGAATCTTCCAGTCCAAATGCAGGGCCCATCTAGGCATGCCCTGACCTTGTGGCTTTTCTCTTAGTATCTGCAGAGTCTCTTAGGGACATAGTTTTTGCACAAATGTGTGAAAACCATGGTAAGTGAAGTTAGAATGTCACCATTCTGCCTGCATCTCTTTGGAATCAGTGCCTCAGGGGAGAGGGGAATGACTTCCTCCTCTTCGCAGACTTGGCAGATATTTTCTGTCAGGGTCTTATCCTGTGCTTCTCATACCATGTCTATTTCAATAGTTCAAGTTCAGTTTGAGGAGATGTGGAGCTGAACAGGAGTGAAAAGCGAGGCTGGCTCCACACCCTCCAGGGCAAGAGAGGAAGGGCGTTCTACGCCCAGCAGGATGACAATGCCCAAGCAGGACAGCTCTGCACGCACACAGGCTGCGTCCCCTCCTCTGCGCCTGGTGACTCTGTAGCTGGCAAAATGCCCCGCTTTCCACCCTCAGAGGAAACTGCACTCTGTCTGCTTCTTAGAAGTTACAGAATAGAAATTGTGCTGCTCTACAAGACCCGCACCCTCCTCGACCCCAATGTCTTAAGACCACAGAAACAACTAATTTCCAGTCCCACGTAACTTGAACTGAAAGGGAAAAACTGTACAAGAGAAACTGCTCTTTTTACAATTTTGATCTTTTGAAACTGCCTAGCTCTGTGCTGCTTCGCGGCTTTGTAGTTCCTTTCTTGACCCTCAAAGCATGAGAGTGTAACCGAACATGCACAATGCCTGACTGTGGCACTGTATCAGGCTTCATAAACTGATGATCATTAATCTGCCCTGGTAGCCGGTGATCTCACCCTGCTAGCTAATCAGAACTGCCAGGTTGTTCTGCTTCGCCTGTGTACCTCCTGCTTTTGCATCATAGAAAAACCGTAGGCCATGAGACATCGGGGCCTGATGTTCTGGGAATGATTCCAATCTGCCCGTCACTGTAGATAAATCTGACTCCAAATCCTGGGTGGTGTTCACTGTTCAAGTTTCCTGTTGTAGAACCACTGGGCTGTAGACATTTCCTGATTTTTCTACTGCCTAAAGAGGAAGCTGGTCACAAGGACAAGTCTACCAATCAGTAATTTAGGTAGCCCAGTGTCACTCCATGTGACAGTCACCAGGTGTATAAAACTATGAACCCATCCCACAGGAAGAAGAGACTGAAGTCAGAGAAGGGTGGAGGAGCAGGGTGGTTTTTGTAGCATAGGCTGACTTGTGTTTCGCTTTCCTGGCTTCATGTTAGAGGCCAGGGTGAGACTGAGTAGGAGCAAGGTCTTGTAGGATGCTCAGCGCTCTGGGGCACCTGAGACCTCATCCTCTGCAGGCTTTTATTGTTGCTATAAAAATGAAAAGGGGACAGTTGTCTAAATGATGTATTAAGGTAGCTGATAAGGGAGAAAATTGGCCGGGGGTGGGGGCATGGTGGTGTACACCTGTAATCCCAACACTTGGGAGGCTGAGGCAGGAGGGCTGCTGTGTGTTCAAGACCAGCCTGGGCTACACAGCACGACTCTGTCTCAAAACTTGCCTGGTAGTTTTAAGGAATGAGGGAGGCCAGTCATATAATAAGATTGGCATCTAATTCTCCAGTACCTGGCAGGAACTGGGGATGACGGCTTATGGGCTAAAGGAATCTTCCCACGGGTCCCTAAGGCTTCCTCGCACACCACAGGTTGTGTTGTGAGAAAAGCCTCAGCGCCCCCGACAAAGGTGATTTTAATTAATAAAAATGCTTAGGAATTACATAGCTCTTCAACATCCTTTGGGCAAAGCTTTTGTTGTTCAGAGGCACTGATCATGTAAGAATGGCTAAAATGCAACACGGTTTTTTAAATTATTTTTTTAAAAACCAACCACAGAGGGCCAGCCAAATAGCTCAGCGGATTAAAGCACCTGCAAGCAGACACAGGTGTCGGGGGTTCAATCCCCAGGCCTGCCTTGCCGGCTCT